GCTGTGTGGTGTCTGTACAGAGCTGGGCTGTGGTGCACCTTGCTTTTGCCTCTGAGCCCCTTGTTCCCAACCCTGTCCTCCCTCACTCTCCACATGCCCCACCCCCAGCACCTCACTCCCTGGGCGCTGGCAGCAGTTTCCCTCTGCCCCAGGTGGGGACTCTCAACCAACCCTGTGATGAGCAGCCTGTCCTGTACACAGGCTGCCCATGGAGCAGTGCTCTCCAGGGGGGAGGCGGGGGGAGGGCACATCTCACCTTTTCCCCATGAAAGGGGGATGCTATCTGGGAGAATCTCTTGGGGCGCAGCGCCACTGGTGGGTGCCACAGTAGCACACATCTGAACAAGCACATGTGACCTCATTGTTGGTGTACAACACAAAACTCTCTCCGCTCATGGATGGAAAATCTTAGCGGGAACACTGATAGTGACTTCAGTTGACTGTTGTCCTGGATCAGGACCTGTTACAAGCATCCTTGCAGGCAGCTGGAATGGTCAGTAGGTGGACTGGAATGCCCATGGTTTCCCCCCATAGATTTGAGGTGTACTCTTGGGGCAGAATTGGTGATCTTTAATGTATCACTCTGGGTTCCAGTGTGGTCATTTTGCATTTCTCACAAATTGATATTTCCAATTTGACAAACCATCATGGCTGCATCTAGACTGGCAAGATTTTGCTCAAAAGCAGCCGCTTTTGCGCTAAATCTTGCTGCCTGTCTACATTGGCTGCAAGTATTTGCGCAAGAACACTGACTTCGTACTGTACAAAATCAGTGGTTCTTGTGCAAATACTCCGACGCTCCTGCTCAGGGATAAGCCCTCTTGTGCAAGTATTCTTGTGCAAGAGGGCCAGTGTAGACAGCCAAGTTAATTTCTTGCACAAGAAAGCCTGATGGCTAAAATGGCCATCGGGGCTTTCTTGCGCAAGAGAGCGTCTACACTGGCATGGATGCTTTTGTGCAAAAGCAAATCTTTTGCTCAAAGGCACATGCCAGTATAGACACTCTCTTGTGCAAATACTTTTAACGGAAACATTTTCCGTTAAAAGTATTTGCGCAAAATCATGCCACTCTAGACGCAGCCTACTTGTTTTCAGGAGGCATTTCAGTAATACCAACCTATTCTCCATCTCTCTGCTCTCAGCACACTGAGGGCATGTCTACACAGCAGGGTAAAAATCTAATTCACCTACGCAACTTCAGCTACATCAATTGCATAGCTGAAGTCGAAATAGTGTGTTTCAGCTTTTGGTGTTGTCTACACAGTAGGAAGTCAAAGGAAGAACATTCTTCCTTTGACTTCTGTCACTCTTCGTAAAATGAGGGTTACCGGAGTGGGAGTAAGAAATCCTCCAGTGTGATATTATTTCAAAATAATGGCTTGCTATGTAGATATGCTCTTTGTTGTTTCAGAATGACATCAGTTATTCCGAAATAATGCTGCTGTGTAGACATACCTCAGTGACAAAGGGTGGTCTGATAAAAACTGATATATGAGAATGCTCAGGTGATGAAATGATTCCAATGTCTGAAGTGATACCAATGTGTTCCTCATAATTGAGTCACAGTAACACTGGGTTTTAGTGAACATAGGTGAGTTCTGCTTAGGTAAGCTGGTGACACAAATTGAAACCTCTTGCAGTGTCAACAGGAAGTGAGCTGAATTCTGTTCCATCTTAGTATCATCTTTGTGTAGTTCAAAGCCCCAAGACAAATAAAACCTGAGGGCAATAAGACTGTGCAGGTGTCAATGTGCCAACAACCTAACTGGGCATTCAGAGCATATTATTACTGGTGACAATGAATAAGGAGCAAAGAATGCAGCTCAAATCTCTGCTCAACCTGAGGTTTTGGAGTTGGCACTGAGAAAAATACCTTCCTACATGTATATTGAGAATACTTGATAATGAGAATGAAGCCATCAAGACCATTTATAGAGAGCCCCTTTTCAAAGTAGCCACCCTAAAATCTTTGTCCCAGTTCACGTTAGTAGAATTTCACAGAATGTTGCTAGATCTAATTTCACCCTATAGCCCTGCAGCCTATAATCTTGCACCCTTGCATTTGTGCCTAATTTGTTTCTTGATCTTGTCAGGGGATTTGGTTGGGTTCAGAAGAACTCCTCAGCAAACTTCATCATCTGAGCAAAAGGGCAGTTGTAAGATAATTTATTAACCTCCATCTGTTGCTGTTCTTTGGCACAGAGATGTCTGTCCACCGCAGCATCTTTTGTAGGGATTGGAAGCAGTCATGGGCAGGAGATGGCAACTTCTGAAATCCATTCCAGCTGCATAATGTCTAGTTTGAGTGTAAGAGACAGTCGTCACCTAGGAAACAAAGGTAAAGCAGTGCCAGCAGTTTCAGGAAGCAGCTGAAGAAGAGTCACTATGGGGAGATGGGCATATTTATACAAAGAAACCATCTGCTCCAATGCTGGTGATTAACCTGGTTTGTTGTAGATGTGACAGAATCAAGCTAGATTTT